ACGCGATCCACATCCCACAATGTCTATACTTTATCATTCTGAAAATTCTAGTTTAAAGGGAATGCACACGCTGAAGGTTGTCAAGGCTTGGAGGACTGATTAGTGGCTTTAGAACTTTTATTTGTGGTGGTGAGAATGTCTTCAAACTAGAAAGAGTTGATGGTTATCCAGCAAAATGAATATTAAAAGTCACTGAGTTGTACACTTTAAAATGATAATTGTGTGTTAAGGGAACTTAACCTCAGTTTTAAATCAAAACAACCCAAAGAAGATTCACCAGTGGGAAATGACATATCTTATGGATTTAATTCTGCATCCCAAAATTTGTATCGGAACCCTAAACCCTATGCCTCTGAATGCAATCCTGTTTGGGAATCGGGTTTTCTCTGCTGTGTTAATGAGGCCACGCCAGTGGAGGGTGTGTCTGAAAGCATCACTTTTGAGATATGGAAAGAGCAGGCTGAACACAGAGCCAAGGAAGCACAGGTGGAGGATATTGCCGAGGAATTTAGAAACACTGGGGTTTCATGAGCTGTAAGGAGCATCTCCTCACAGACTCAACAGAGAAAGAGCCTTCCCATAAATCTGGTACCTTGAACTTGAACCTCCAGCCTCCTGATCTTTGAGAAAATAAATTTCTGTTCTTAAAATCCACCTACTTGTGGTATTTCCTTTAAGAAACACTGAGAAACTCAGATGACATGTATGGAAAACCCCGTTCGTGATGAAGAGAGACAGGACCCTCAAAACAAATGACGAGCTTAAAACAAACCAGAACGAACCTTGCTTTTCCTCCCCGAGAATGTTGTTGTGGCTGTTGGGTGCTGTGGGCTCCCTCCGACTCCTAGTGATCCTGTGCACAGCGGAAGCAAACACCGCCCGGGCCTGCGCCAGCCTCACAATCCTCCCAGGAACTGTTTAAAGGCATCCCACTTGAGGCAGCCAGGGCTGGACGTCTGGGCACACTCCGCTACAAATGGCGGGAACCACATGCAGTGAATTCTGTGAGGGCTGGGATCTGACGGGACTGCTTTCTCCCGTTTTCACATGTTTGCTGTCTTTAACAGAGTGAAGGATTTTCACTTTTCTACCACTTGTTTTAGCAGAAAGTATTTGTGCTTTTCTTCTTCCATAGATCTTCACCTTACAGACGTACAGAATTTCACAGGTTTTACTGTATTATTTTTTATTTGAAGTTCAGAGAAAATACTACCTATACTACAATTAATAAATAGGGTATTTAGAGTTATTTTTTTTCCCTGTATCTATTGCTGGGCAATTGGAAGAAAAGAAGCACAAGCAACAGCAGGAACTCCGTCTTTGCTCAAATTTCCACAGGCTCCTGGGCCTTGGTCCTGCAGTGTTTGCTCCTGTGGGCCGCCTGCTACTCTCAAGACCCCCTGCAGCCCAGTCCCTCCTGCTGCTCTGTAGGGTGGGTCGTGTTTTTGCTCACACTGCCACCCTCACTGTGATTCTCCTGCACAGGAATACTGAGCCATGTACTAGGAATCACGGTGCTCAGCCGCAAGGAAACTCATTCTTGGATGTGTCTGAGTTGATGACTAGTCGTCCTTGTAGAGGCAGCATGCAGCCTCTGTATCACTGTGCCTGATGATAGATCTTTCCCAACAATTCAAGGCAGCTCCTTGGGGAGAGCCTGATGCAATCACAAGTAGCAGTGGTACTGGGGCTGAGTCACCAATGAGGCTGCAGGTGAGGGTGATGGTCTGTGAGCTCCTCACCATCTGAGGTTCCAATTCCTGCAATTGCCCCTGGGGCAGGGCACCCGGACAAAAGGAAACAAGCACATTAAACAAGCCATCTCCCTGTGAATCTGCTATGACCCATTCCGTGTCCCTGCCACTGACCTAATGGAAGACCCAGCACTACCTGGAGGACGATGGGGAAGGGGCAGACTTCTGCAGCTCGGTCTCCCAGTCGTAGAATTCCACACGTTCTGGTGTCTGATCTCCACAAAGGGTTTCTCCAGAACCAAATTCTACAGCAGGGTAGATGCAAGCAGGAGACAGGGAAGGGCGTGATGGGAACCACAGCGATGGGCTTCAGTGAAGACCTTCTCCATATTCCAGTTGTTGCGATCTGACATCAATCACAGTTTCCAAGCACAAGTAAACTGCTGGATTAGATTTGATCTGTCCTTCACTCACTTACTTACAAATTCTGAGAGCTGTTCTCATAGCAAGACTTCATCTGCACTGAGGACTTATCAGTGACTAAAACAGGCCCAATTATCCTTGCCCTTCTTAAATCTACATTCCAGGATATTATGGACATAGTGCACAAGGTGTCTGACCCCTAGGCCCAGGCAGTTCAATGATGCTGGGCGTAAAAACGGTTGTATGTCAACATCATCAACCTGGAAAACACATATAGAAAAAGGGAAACAGGCTTGCGTTTGTGGGACGTTTGAGATGAACAATGTATACTCAAACTGAGTGAAGCATGGTGATGGGTGTTGGGTATGGAGGGTCACTCAGCAAAAAAAAATTGGATTTGAGCTGCTATGAAAACAAGCCACCCACCGTTCTGAAAAGGGAGTGAGTGAAGATCAGCTCTTCATTTTAATACAACTCTGATTCCAATTTATTCATCTGGGAACAGCGGCACTCAGTAACAGATGGAGAATGGCAGATGTTCCGTCTTCTCTGGAGACTAACTTATCTCAGCAGAGATATATTTCTGTTTAGTGAAACGGCTCTCACACATACTTCTGGGGTCTGAGTCTGTTCTAACTCTTTCTGACATGGACTCTGGCTCTTTGTACCCTCTGCAGCATCACCCATGGGGCCTGAAGTGTCCCCTCTTCTCTTCAGAGGGTCACATGTTGCCCCCACCACATGGTTGTCTCGTTGGAAAAAATCAAGGTCTAATGTCAGGTGCTTAATTTACATCTGGAGAATCGCACAGGGCCTTGAATGGCCTACCCACAAGATCCCTCCGACTCTGCTCCTCTTGATGTAGTCCGCTCACCAAGCCTACTTCTCCAGAGGACGCAGAGAGGTTTTGATTATCCATCAGGAGGGGATTGCAATACTCTGACAAGGTAAGGAATTATTCAAACAAAATGATCATTTTATCCCATTGGAATAAAGAGACAACCCTCCGTCCTGTTGCTACAAAGTCTCCCTGTTGTGTTGTTTGTATTGTTATTAGTTGCTGTCATGTCAGCTCTGACTCATGGCGACCTTGTTACAGAATGAGATGGTGCCTGGTCCTGACCATCTCCACGATCCCTGGCCTGAATGAGACTATTGATGCTTCTATTGTGTTAATCCATCTCATGCATGGACCCTCACCTTTTGCTCACCCTTTAAGTTGACAAACATGATGCCACTGTAGTTTCATTCATCTTCCCCAGTCCTATGTCCAACGTAAGTGAGATAATACCTTCCCATCTTCATTTACAAAAAAACATTCTGTTTGTATTTCTTCTTGGGCTGATTTATTTGTTTTCCTGGAAGTCCATGGTGTTTTCAATTTTTTTTCCCCAGCAGCACAATTGGAACACATCAACTCTGTCATCTTTTCATTGTCCTGCTTTCATTTACATATAACATTATAGAAAAGACCGTGGTTTATGCCACACACCACTTTAGTCATCAAAGTGGAGTCTATGTTTCTGGAATTTTAGAGAGGTCTTTACATGTTCTGGGTGCAGTGCTTAAGCATTTCACTAATAACCAATACATTCATGGTTCAAACCCACAAGCCACTCCACGTAGAAAGATGACACAGTCTGCTTCCATAAAGATTTACCCATTTGGAAACTCTATGGGGCAGTTGGACAGGTAGCTGCCCCCCAACTTCCTTGATACAGCTGAGTAAGTGTCTTTCCAGTATGGCCTGTGTTTATTGCGACATCCCAAGTGCTTCTTCGCACAGCTCCTATTTCCTCCTCTATTATCTTATAAATCCCATGTATCGCTGCAGAGCATGCAGTCGCCGCTCCCCAGGACTGTCAATGTATATCGTTCATAAACTGCTTGTGATCCTACTGATCCAGTTTCAGGTGTCCTGCCCTCAGAAGTTCCCAGAATTCTAGGGATACAGTTACTCTCAGCCGGATGAAGAGAGATGAATAGAAGGTGTGTCATCCTTCTTCGCAAATTCACATTCCTTCCCCAGGAATCCAATTCTCCAACCTCACCAACACTTCATATTTTTCCTCTTCCTATTTCCACTGTCACCATCTAGTGGGGGAGTGGGGTAATCATTGTTTGGGATCTCCACTTTCTTATTCTTCTTTTTCTTTTTCCCTTATTTTAAAAGTTTGTTTTACATTCAACATTATGGGTACATTTAGTTTCACTCCCCATTTACCATGCCCAACCCTAACCCAGTCTCCTCCCCTCCCTATGCTGTAATCCTCCCCCAGCGCCCCTCATAGTTATGCACCCCTGTTTTTGCTGGATTCCCTCCATGTGAATGTTGCCTCTCTGGTGCCTCTGGTCTATTGTTCCCAGGGTTGTATTCCCATAGAGTATGTGGGAGTGGTCTGCATGTACATCGTGTTTACTATTGGGCCATTTTCTTAAGACCAACGATGGTGAGTATCTTTTCCACTGTGTATCAGCCATCTCAATGTCTTAATTGCAAAGAAACATTTTATCCAAAACTTTACCCATTTTTAACTTGGTTTGCTTGTCTTTTCCTTTTTGAGTTAAAGGAGTCTTTGTAAAATCTTTACACCAGACACTTTTTAGGTATACTATTTTAATGTTTTAGTGTTTGGAAGAAAACTGAAATTTTAAGAAATAATAAGACAAATAAGAGTCACTATGACAGGAAGGAAATTGTCTGAGGGAAAACCACTCATACAAGGAGGAAAAATACAAAGTTCAGATATGAAAAACCAAAACTTGGAAAATTCTCCTCTTTCTGTACATAAACGCCTGCTTCCTCTGCATGAGTGCTCATGGTGATAAATGTTCACAAGTTACCTCTAAATCCGTGATCCCCCACACCCCCCTTCAGGGAGGTTAGTATCTGGGCTCACACTGACTTTCCCTCACTGTGTGTTTTGCACAGTAATACATAGCTGTGTCCTCAGCAGTCAAGGCGCTCAGCTGCAGAGAGAATTGGTTCTTGCCTGTGTCCCTAGAGATGGAGCTGCGACTCTTGAGGGATGGGCTGTAGTAAGTGTCACCACTAGCACATATCCTCCCAATCCACTGCAGCCCCTTTCCCGAGGGCTGGCAGATCCATTGCCAACAGTAACCACTGGTTGTGATGGATAATCCAGAGACCGTGCAAGTGAGGGACAGGGTCTGTGCGGGTTTCACCAGCCCTGGGCAAGACTCCTGCAGCTGCACTTGGGACAGGACACCTGGAGACAAGGACAACCACAGTGAGTCACAGGCAGACATCACAGCCCAACCTCCCACCTCTGAAGTCATAGAAAATCTCACCTGGGGCTGCAGCCACCAGACAGAGAAAGATACATGTCCACACCATGTTGTTCTCTGGAGAGCCCTTTGTTCCTCAGACTCCAGTCCACACTGACAAATCACAAGAATGTCCCAAGCTTAAGCATCTTCCTCTATCTGTGGCTGAAAAAAAAATTTGCATGTAAGAGGCCCCATAGTTATAAGACGGAAACAGTGTGAGAAGGACTTGGGTTCATTTGGCCATCCTGTGGTTCAGTTGTCCACTTTTCTCTATGGTCGTGACAGAGAGGACATTGAAGTGGGCCACATGTCAAGAGAAGGTGACTATCCAGAGGAAATGGTGACTTCCTTCACTGGTGTTGATTGTACTCAGTTAATGATGGGGTGTGAATAAGATACAGACTCACAGTGTTGACGTATTTGGGAGTACACATATTTCCAGTGATGCTCTGAGTACCACATGAATGTGGGAAAAATCCATGTTTGAAGGATATTCCCTGAGAGTTACCCAGATTCTTCTCACTCCTGAGTTTTGGGGGAAGAACCGTAGTGAGTGAGATGTTTCTGTTTATCTTAGTGATCACAGTACAATGTTCTTTTCTTGTGTCCTTGAAGAGTCAAAGCTTCCTAAATTCAGTAGGACAGGAGTGTGTAAATAACTGCAAACATGCTTTCATAATGATAGCATTCAAGGGTCCAGGTCATTTTGTTTGGAATTGAGGCAAAAGAAATTTTTTTTGAAAGTTGATATATTTTCTAATTAATTGATCCAAAGAAAATTAATGGATTATCCAGATAACTCCCATTGTATAAATGGTCATTAAATATAATGCATTTAATTTTTTAAATGTATATGATGCATACCCTTTGAATTCCATTTCATGTGGTATTAGTCATTATTAAATTGTATTAACCCATGGCTGTCTAATCAACTCATATTATAGTGACTCTATAGGACAGAATATATTTACCCACAAGGTATCCAAAGTTGTAATTTAAAGAAACACACTGTTACATCTTTCTTCCACAGAGCAGCTGGTGGGTTCAAGCAATTGATCTCTTGCTTACCAGTGAATGGCTTAACCACTGTGCCCTCAGGGCTCCCAATGAATGCCCCAATACCTTAGAGATGTTACCCAACACCACGTACTATCTCACATTTTCTATGGGATTGGGATCCAGTGGGGCTTCACGTTTGTCACTCTGACTCTCTCATGGAATTGTATTTGATTTGGTTGCATCTAGTCGGTGTCTCAAGGATGGACATGGCAGAAAAGTCCCCCTCTATTCCCTGCCAGGCTGACTGAACCTGCTGGCTGCAAGTGGGATGCCCCTCCATAGTAACAGGAAGTCGTACACATCATTGGTCTTGGATGCAAGGAACGTTATGCCTCCCTTGATTTAGTCAAACTCTGCTTTCTCTCAGCAGTGTGGGTGACCCACGGACTTGCTTCCTCTTCACTAATGGAACAAGACTTACCTCTGACCCTTCTCTGAAATAAAGAGCATGTTCTTTGTCCTGGTGGGTACCAGAATCTCTTGAAACTTCCCTGGAGATTGAGACTCTTGACCCTGGTAGAGAAGGTGCCCTGTGTGTGGTGGTGACATGGTGTCCCAAGCATTGGATTTTCACATGGATGCCCACCCACAAGGGGTATCTCTGGTCTCCTGGGCTGACCCTACTCCTTCCCAGGAGCATCCTGAAAATACATGAGGAGATACATGAGAGAATCTGTGAACCCCCTTGTATATGGGCTCCCACTCTCGAGGTTAAAGTTATGATTAACCACCCCTGTGATTTCTGCTCGTGCATGCCAACAACACCCTCCTCTGTTTAATGAGGTTATTAATTTGAGATGTTAATGTCAGTAGCGTTTGCCCAGTTTCCATCCCCATCAAGACATGATAGAGTACATTATCACTCATTATCAGACCAAAGAGAAAAGTATCTAGGAAGTCAGTTTCTGTGACGTGGGTGAAAAAGAATCCCATTGTTTTAATTTTGAGGCATTTCTCAGCATTAATAGATTCCTATTACTTTTATTTTGGAGTGTAAGCCAAATCAACCTCCCGGTAGATTACAATGGGTGATGTATTCCGGTTGCACACTTCTATTAAATATGAAAGCATTTATTAACTCAAACTGTGTCCTCTTCCTCCTAGAGACACACAAGCACATTTCATCCTAATCAAATACATATTAATAATATTATTA